CTTTCTTAAAGAGACAGCGCACAAAAACCGGCTCCCCGGCTGCCGCGCGGACCCACGCCATTTGTGCATGGCCCGTCACACTAAGCAGCTCTAGCAATATTCAGACTAGCGTTCAGTTTAAGCTTGCAGGACATGGCCCAGTAACCTACTTTCCCCACAACACGCTCTGTAACATCAGAGGCGAGGCTGTGTGTCATCAGTTAACTAACCTTCATCGCAGCATAGTTTCAGCAGAGTGAGGCAAAAAACTGAGGGGCAAAAAAGAAAATAACTTACAGATTATCTTTTTTTTTCTAAATGAAACATCTTATAGCATAAACTCCTAGCACGGTTTTATCCTAAAGCTTAATTAATTGCATTTAAACAAGAATAGGAGCAAAGAATTACAAATTTAGATGTCATGTACTGGGGAAAGAAATGTTTTATACATACATCTGTTTATGAAAAATGGAAATAAACCGGCTTTTTCTCTTAGAGGGGGTAGTTCATAGATACCAGTGTGTGTGCTGTTACAGTCCCTGTATCAGGTGAGCAGCTCTGTAAATGGTTACTCTCTACAGGGACCCTCACACTCTTTTTTTCCCCCTCTGTTTCTGGGTTAACAGTCAAATATGCATAGGGACTGCAAAGACTAGCCTTCAGCACAGATAGTGCAGCGCTGATACAGTTGGTACATGCTCACTGGAAAATTGCCCCTTGCTCGCTGGCCTTGATTGCTATCCCTGAAGTTTGAGAAACTGTGTGGGGAATTGATCCTGTGGTGGCCGTCGGCAGAGGACCCTAAATGGCCCCAAACTTTCAACATAAGACTAAATACACCAAATCAGAGCGTGAATTCTGAATTAACCCAATATGCAAAATCAGATTTTCCAATTTTTTCCTAGAAGAAAAAAACCTCCACTGAGGCTGAAGGGGTGAGAGAGATAGCGTGAGTCATGAGGTGGGCCCAAATGTTGAGCAGCATGATGCAAACAGGAACATATGGTACAGTGAACACCCCAGTTCAGACGGTCACAGAACAACCCCTCCTGCCCCGCTCAGCTGTCAGCACACATCCTCATCACTATTCATATCTGCTGGGCCCACCTGAGCTCTGACTCAGGGGTGGAGGGGGGCAGGAGAAGGGGCCCCAGCACACACACACACACACACACACGCAGGAACATGTAGTCGTTTATCGTTCATAAGATCCAGGCTATCTCCAACCAGATCAGCGCCTTTGTGTGGCATCAGGTGACACAGTCACACCTGGATTGACATCAGACATCCACCAGAGCAGATTTTCCGGAGATAAATCCAGCTCGTCTTCATGTGACTTTTGTAGGATCTATACTACCCTATCGCCTTTAAATCTACCCTCATATCTAACCTAATAAAATACTTTAAAAATCTGACTGAAATAATAGTTGTAATGTTAGAAATGGGGGTGTCACAGAGCAGGTTGACAGCTGGTTCCTGAGTGGCTGTATCAGCACACACTAAGCTTGATTTGACAGAGACCACAGCACTCCAGTAATGAGGTCGAGCTTTAACCTGTCACTCACTCTCATTCAATACTGAGACCAGAGAGAGAGAAAAAGAAGAAAAAAAATACAACTCCCCATCTCAGGATGCAGAACAAATACCACAGGCTTTCTTAAATGACAGACACACAAACAACTTATTACTTTTACAAACAGGCAAAGAAAATAGAAACAGCCGTTGACAGGTGTTTCAATCATAGACAGCGACACGAGAAAAAAAAACCCATTTCAGCTAATAAACCCGGGAATTCAACGGCGACGACCGGCAAAGCGGAATTCATGCGTTGTTACCATTTTTTCACGGTGACACAACGCAGACGGACACCGGGCTCATTTTGAGCCGGTTTCCAGTATTTTTCGAGCCGAGTATTTTTTGTTCCAGCCGTTGGCTGTAAACCGTAAGCTACGTTTGAAAACGTTCCAGGTACGGAGCCGTTAGCCGTTAGTGAAACCGGGCCGGAGCAAAACTTACCTTGTTTTTTTGTTGTTGTTGGGTTTTTTTTACAACGTAACACGGGTCAAAGTCGTCCGAGTGACAGCCGGTCGGGGAAAAGGTGGGCTTTAAAAAAAAAAAAAAAAAGTCAAAATACCCGGCTGACGTCTTACAATCCAAAAAAAGTTGCCCGGAGATTCA